ATAAAACCTCATTCGATTGTTTTACGGAATTCTTATTAGCATGCAAGTTGGGATATTTCCGAAAACATTCATTAACAGCATGACCATGCATTTTGCAAAAAGAACAGAAGATAGGGAAATTTTCCAACTCAACTTTTTAAAAATATCCTTTAACTTCAGAACCTATCCAAATTTCATTAGGGTAGTTTTTAGAAACATCCATTTCAACCAACACCCTAGCAACGGACGGTCTTGAAACATAAGTAGTAGCTTGGTCAGTTTGTAGGGGGCGGCCAAAGATAGAAGCCAACCCAAATAAAATTTGTTGATTAAAAAAATGTAATCTCAAATTTGGAAAAGCCAACCAAACTGGTGCTATAGGGGATTCCTCCCTAACATCAAAATTCGGAGTCCATTTTAATAACCTCATTTGACAAGCCTGAATATAATACGATCTACGAGCAAAAATTCAGCTATAATCTAGATCATTTGAAAGTTGTATAACAATATGCTTTTGATCAAGTAAACCAACATTAAAAGAACCGGCAAGCTTAAGATTCATAAAAAACTTACGAATCACATCAAGATTAGGCCTCCTTAAAACAAATTTACCAACCAAAGTAAGAGTAAAAGGGGCAGCAAGCTAATTAACAGCGGTGTCCTCAAAAATCAGGGTCGGACATCCCTTATACGATGAATGCACGAAACACAGTTTCGGAGAAGAAGAGGAGCCTTCAGCGAGGGCCTCCTTAAAAGATTGAGTTTTCCCTTCAATGGACAAATGTTTAGGGTGCGATGATGACGGGGTCGTCATCATCCCACACAAAAAAACTCAAAGAAACCACAAAATGGAAGCAGAGAAAGTGCTACAAACGAAGATCAAGAGTTTCGAAACGAAATCACCGTAAAAAATCCAGCCAGGAGGGCCAGAGGAGCGGACACTAGTGAACCCTATATATATATATAGATATATATATATTCATACATGAGAGTGGACTAATGAGCTTTCTTTTAAATTAAGATTTGTAGTATAATCCTAAATGATATGAAAATAGATGTATAAGAAGACAGATTAATATGATATGATATGCTAATGAGTATGAAGTGATGACTTCTGATATGATAGCCACCTGACCCTAATGATTTATGATATAACTGATTCTTGTAAGGTTCACCTAAAAGATTGAATACGAAAAACATCATAAATAGTTTGATGCTTTTTCTTTCTTATAGTGCTTGCATATGCATATGATAGAAATATATATTTGATAAATTATATAATTGACATGGCATATTTTGCACAAGATACATGCTATAATTAATACAAGTATCGAATAAGATTGATAAAATTGGCACAAAGGTATTTGATATATGGATCATATGATTTATATGATATTTATGCATAGCATAGATACTATAGGACATGCATATGATAATGACATGTGTATTGATATAATGATATGCTATATAAATTATTTTGTAACTGTTGGGAATAGAATTGACAAGACTTACTGATCACTTGGTTTTTTATCACTGCTCTTATGATATATAATTATACACTTATACTGATGCTTATTGATCATATGCCATATTATTTTTTCATTAATTATTATATTCTTTTACAATTTTATGTTCATACTGATAGTAATTAAATGATCATACACATACTATTTGTATTATCTCGTATTAATTTTAGTTGAAGATTCTAATAACCTACTGAGCTATTAGCTCACTTTGTGGTTTTACATATTTTTAGGAAGGGTTCAAGTTCCAGTGGAGTGAGAATAGATCAAGAATTTAGGTTTTATTTTATTTTATATTTTTAAATTTTATTCTTTTATAGTTAGGAGCTTGAAAAATTAAAATGAATGTAATGATTAATCTCCTAGCTTTTACATATGAATTTTAAGCGGTGAATATAGTTTTATATTTTGATGTATATGATTTTTAGTTACTTCTACTGGATTGAATTATATTGATGAATTTATAGAAGATCTAATTGGTTAATTAATAGTATTTTATGCGGCCCGTTACACCCATCTAATTAACCCAAATTCCCTTATTGTATTATAGTTTTATAAGGCAGCTTGACACATTTATGGCCCATTATACCCATCTAATTAACCCAAATTCCCTTATTGAATGTGATATAATTAAACCTATGTCATTAGTAAACATACTTAAGTTAAACCTATGGTTAACTTGAGTGAGACTATTATATTCATTCAATCCTTTAGTGTGTAATTAGGCCCATGTGTCATCGAAGACAAATTTGGTTACTTAGTGCACATAACACAAATGAATCTAAATTAAGCTCATTTTTATCTTTTTTTGTCAATGTGCTTGAATGTCAAAGATCAAGAAATTTCTATATAAAAATGGTTGTATAAATTTCCTAGGTCTAATATAATTAAACATTGCAGAGCCCATCTACCTATTATTTCATTTATTTTATATTGTATTTACAAATTTCTCAATATGGTCATTGAAGAAATAGTAAGGCAGTCTTTTGTTGTTTGCTTATTTTATTTAGAATGTAATATTTGTTCTTATTCATTTCAAAGATGGCCTAGAATTACAATCAATTAATGAATAGGCTTGTTAGGAGTAAATCTTCCAAATAACTAAAAGAAATCCAAGAATCTTAATAAAATCTTTTTGCAAGATTAAAAATCTAAATTATCTCACTATATATATCCTAGTTTAAAATAATTGATCTTCTCCCCTACTTCATATTTCACATATAGGTTCAATGGAATTTGGCCAAGCACTTTGTATGTGAAAGAGTTAAATAAAGCCTAACAGATTTCTCCTCATATGTAGGCTTTGTTGACATATAGATCTAAGTCTTAAGTAGTCTAGATAATAATTGAATAAAATGTAAAACATGCCCTCATATTTTGTGCATTACATAATAAAATATGCCACATAAATTCTTAAGACAATAATTCTCTTATCTTGCATTTAGACCAAATAAAAATGACATACTTTTTAAAAGTTCTTAAATAAGTTAGTTGGTCTTTATTAGATATGAAATAAGGCAAACAAGTTTTGGCTTTCTAACCTAAGGAGGTTGTTATCTTTCCCTTAACAAGCACTTTGTGATGAGAATCATAAGTCCAATATTAATTAGCCTCAAGCCTTGTCTTAGCTAGATTGAACAATATCTAATAGATATTAGAAGACTGATCAAGGAAAATTTTGTTATAATATGTTGTGGTTACAAGTTTTATCAATAGAATTATGTTCTTACATTTATTAATTATCATAAAATGATTACTCCCTCAACTTGTCTGCTTAAACGGTTGTGATATTGCAAGATTTTCTAAGGAAAATTATATGAAACAAAATTTACACTCATTATTTAAATTTTAAATCATATTTAATCCAATAAAGTACAATCTATCCACAAATGGACATTCACTATGCTTGACCATCCCTAATCACTTAATGATATAAGTGCTTAGCTTTCTCTCTATTTTGCATGCATTTCTTGAATTAGTTTGCATCATCAATACTTTTGCACTCCTAAAAAGCAATCCTAATTATAAATAAAGCATTGCAAATCTTAAACAACATTCATTGATTATTAACCTTAATTAGGAGTTTCCTTAGATTCTAATGTCCAATATATAATTAACTATAGGTTATAGTTTCCAATAGAAGATTCAAAGCCCTATACTAAAATAAATAAAGCTTTAGTGACCACACCTTAGAATTTTCAAGGGAAATCTTAGCAGTAAACAAATCTACCATTACAGAAAAATCATATATTACCGACAAATTTTTCGAAGAAAATTTGTTAAGTTTCTGACGGATTTGAAAGGTTTTTGGCAAAAAAAATTTCATTGATAAAATGAGCATCGGAAAAAATTTTCGCCGAAAAAAAGAAAAATTTTCTAACAGTTATTCGACGAAGAAAAGCCTTTGAAAAAACTTAAAAAATTACAAATGGCTGCCCACCAGGCCTGCCCCAATGTGCTGCCCAGCTTCCTGCACGCATCAGCTTTGCCCGGCTGTTCATTCGGCATGTCCATGGAAGCTCCCGCCTACCCGTCTGAGTTGCCCGACATCCTGCCCGCCTGACCGCCTGAGTGTGGATTCAAACTCAAGAACTATTCAGTTTGAGGGTATCAACCACTCTGTTATGGACTAAGATGCGTTAACAAATTTACTATTTTATATTTAAATAGAATACTACAGAAATTAAAATTAAATAATATTATTAAAGTTAAAGTTAAAAGTTATTTAAAAAATAATAAGTTATAGGAAATAAATGTTAAAATAATTAATTTTATTAATATTAAAGTTAAAAGGATTAAAGTTATTAATATTAATATTAAAAATAAAAGTTATTAATATTAGTATTAAAGTTATTAATAAAATAATAAGTGAAGATCATTAATAAATAAGTTAAAGTTAATAATATTAATATTAAAGTTATTAATAAACTAATTTGTTAAAGTTATTAAAAAAAGTAATTAAAATAAGCTATAAAATTATTAATTAATTAAATTACAATTTTTTTAAAAAAATTTTATTAAAATATGCCAAAAATTTTGGCAGAAATAAATCCGCCTTAAATGCACTGAAAAATCTTTCTGAAAATTAGTCTGAAATATTCCTTCATAATTCATTGGAAATCCCCCAGAAATACACCAGAAAATAGTCCATCGAAAATCCATCGGGAATTCCGCTAGTAATAATTAAAAAAATTTCCTATTGTGTAGATTCCACTAATCATACCTCTTAAATATATTAATAGATAACTTTCGTTCACTCATTGAAATTCATTAGATTCCTTTCAAAGACAACAAAGTGCAAGATATCAAATTGAATAAAATAAATTCATGCAAAATCATCTGCTCCCCGCTCTCGCCCTAGCGCCGCTCGGGCGATTTTAGGGTTTCCTGTGCTGTCCTTTTTCCTTCTCTCTTAGAGGGGGCTTTGTGTGAGATCATTTGCTCGTTCCTTGCTGTTGGTGTTCTTGTTCTCATTCGGCCCTTTAGGGCCTCTTTGCAATGGTGGGGATTTCTTCCTCAACGCCTTGGGGTAACGTCGCCTCCCAGACTCAAGATTCAAACAAAGGCTTTTTCAATCTTGATTCAGAGGTTCCTTCTCCACCTAAATCCCGTTCGTTTAAAGATGTTCTTTTAGGATCATCAGGTGATACCTTACCTTATATTACTCAAACTACTTTTAATGGTATGCTGGTTGTCTTGATCTCTGACAATAAAGTTTTAAAACCTGTTTCCCCCTTTCGTTTTATGTTGGTTGGTAAGTTTGGCATCCGTCAGCCAAACCTTGATGCGATTCGAGCTTTTTTCGGTAATTTGAAGCTATTGGGTTTTTATTCGGTTGGTCTCTTAGATTCTAAACATGTTGCCATACGACTCTCTAATGATCTTGATTACAGTCGTGTTTTAGCCCGTAGATCTTACTTCATACTTAACTATCAGATGCATATTTTGTAATGGACGCCTTTCTTTGATGTTAAAGAAGAATCTTCGATATATGGATTTCTTTTCCAAATTTAAGACTTCATTTATTTAATTCTAAAGTGTTGCATGCCCTTGGTTCGATCTTTGGTCGGCCTTTACAAACGAACCAGGCAACTGCATCAAGAACCCGACCTTCTGTTGCCCGGGTTTTAGTTGAAGTTGACATTACTAAGAAGCATGCTAAGGAAGTTTGGGTGGGTTCTAAAGCTCTTGGTTATTTACAAAAGGTTGAATTTGAAAAGTTTCCTAATTTTTGTAATCATTGTAAATCTCACGATCATGCAGTGTCTGAATGTTTTAAACTACATTCGGAGCTCAAGAAGATTTCCAACAACTCCACTAGAAAGGTGGGAATTGCGGCTACTGCTAATGATAAAACAGAGAATTTGGCTCCTGTGTTACAGGATGAAAACCTTTCCAATGTTGAGAAGGTTGGAAATGATACTATAATTGCTTCGGAAAATATGATGCTTTTAGATAAGTCTAACAATTCTCCTGTGAAAGATTTGGTCAATGAGAAACATACTGAAGATTGTGAATTAATTCTAATATTTTTATTTCAGTAGACTCTATGCTTCATAATGTTGATTCTCCGAATTTAATGCTTAATATAGATAAATCTGATAAGGGGAATGAGTATATGGAGGAATGCGAAGAAGGGGAATATATCCCCAGTAATAATCCGATGGGATCAGAGGACCTTAATGGTAATAAGGGAAATGTGGATTCTCATATGAAGACTTCTTCATCTAGCACCTTTCATAATGTTACTAAAATGAATGAGGAGGAAGGCTCTCCCAAGATGAATAAGAAAAAAAAAAAGAAAAATGGCAAAGCCCCTTTACTAGATACACCACTTTCTACTAGGGCTCAAGCTAATACCAAAAGTTCTAATGATTAAATCCCTTATTTAGAATGTGAGAGGGATTGGGAGGTCGGATTCTAAGACTTGTGTTAGGAATTTATGTCGTGTGCACAACATTCAACTTTTGGTTTTACTTGAACCTTTTATCTCGTCAGACAAAATTATTTCTACCACTTCTAGTTTGGGTTTTAACAGAAGTTTTGCTAACTGTTCTAATAAAATATGAATTTTGCGGAAAAATCATGTCAATGTTAATGTCATTTCTGATTTTCAACAAGTTGTTCATGTCCAAATCTCTTATAACAAATTTAATTTTAATGCCTCTTTTGTGTATGCGGTATCTACTAGATTGGGCAGAATTCCTCTTTGGGAGTGCCTATCGAATTTTGCTCACAACTCTATTGGTCCTTGGTGTGTAGAAGGCGATTTTAATATTATTTCTCATGCTAGTGAAAGGAGAGGGGGAAACCCTCCTAATGTGAATGCTATGGATGATTTTAATCAAATGATATTTAATTGCAATTTAACTGACATTAGCTTTTCTAGTAGTAGTTTTACTTGGAGTAGAGCTAAGATGTGGCAAAGGCTTGATAGAATCCTGTTTAATAATGATTAGATTAGCAATTTTCATATGACTCAAGTTCAGCACTTGAGTAGAACCATATCTAACCATGCGCCTCTTCTTATGAATATCTTTGATAACAACATGAAGGCTTCTTTGGCTTTTAGATTTTAAAACATGTGGATTAATCACTCTGAATTTCTTAGTGTGGTGGCTAATAATTGGCATGCCATTGTTTTTCCTGATAACAATGTTAATGGTATGGCTAGACTTTGGGCTAAGTTGAGTAGACTTAAATAACTTCTTAGATGGTGGAATAAACATATTTTTAAAAATATTTTTGATAATATTAAGGAAGCTGTAGATAAGGTTTTGGTGTTGGACAATTTGTTTCAGGAGGATCCCTCTGGTGATAACCTTTCCAATCTTGATAATGCTAAACTTCATCTTTTCAAATTACAAAATCAGGAAGAAATTTTTTGAAAACAAAAGGCCTATGCTTCTATCATTTTGGAAGGCGATAGAAATACTGCTTTTTTCATGCTTTACGTAATAAAATAGAATTAGAAGTCATATTCATAGGATGGTGGATAACCAGGGTTGTGTTTATGATACGAAAGATTCTATTATTCTCTATGGTGTGGAGTTTTTTAAAGATATTTTCAATACTGCAAACATAACTAGTCCTATTTCTAACTCAAATGTGATTCCTAAGCTTGCGGATGAGAATGACAATCTTTTGCTTACTCAACTTCCTATGGAAGAAGAGATTTGGAATACTATTCATGACATGAATGGAGATTCTGTGGCTAGGCCTGATGGTTTTACTACTAATTTTTTTTTGTTAAAACTTGGGATATTATTAAAACTGACGTGGTTGAAGCTGTGCAAGATTTTTTTAAAGGTAATCCTTACCCTAAATTTTTTTCTTTCGCTAATATTATGCTTATCCCTAAAAAATAAAATACTACTTTTTGGAATGATTTTAAACCTATTAGTCTATGCACTTTCTTTAACAAACTTGTGGCTAAAATCATTACCTCTAGATTATCTTTAATTATGCTGAAAATTATTTCCTCTAACCAAACTGGGATTGTTAAAGGTAGGAGTATTCTTGATAACATTTTATTAGCTCAAGAGATGGTTCATGATATCAATGCTAAATGTACCGGAGGTAACATTATTTTTAAACTTGATATTACGAAGGCTTATGATAATTTAAATTGGGATTTCCTTTACAACATTCTTTCCCTGTTTGGTTTTAATCAAAAATTTTTTATGCTTATTAAGAATATTATTAAAAACTGCTTTTTCGCTATTATCATCAATGGTAGTAATCATGATTTTTTCACTTCCAAGCATGATCTTAGATAAGGGGACCCGTTATCCCCTTCTTTTTTTTTTTATTATTGCTATGGATTTTCTCTCTAGAGGGCTTGAGAATCTTTACAGAATGTATCCTAACCTTACATTCCGCACGACTGGTGGCTTTCCTATTACTCACCTTAGTTTTGCTGATTTTTTTATTATATTCTCGAATTCTTCTATTAAAAATGTTAAAATTCTAGCTCAATTTTTAGCTGCTTTCAGAATATTAGTGGTTTATCTATTAATAGGGACAAGAGTAACTTCATTACTGGCAAGTCTGTGAATAGCAGCAGGCTGGGCAGAATCAAAAGAGTGTGTGGTTTCAGCCCGTCTTTACTTCCTATTAAATATCTTGGAACTCCTCTTTTTAAAGGAAGGAAAAAGACTATTCTTTTTAAAAATATTTTTTCCATATTTCAAATAAACTTTCTTAATTGGTCTTCTAATTTCCTTTCTTTTGGAGATAGATTGATTTTGATAAAAAGTGTTCTTAGTTCTATTCCGATATTTCTATTTCATACTTTGCAACCTCCGTCTACTGTTTGTATGAGAATGGAAAAAATGATAAACAAGTTTTTTTTTGGGTGCTACCAACAATAAATCTTGTATTAATTGGGCCAAGTGGAGAAAAGTTTGTGGGGAAGAAGGATCTCTTGGTTGCAAGTCCATTTCTGATATTGTGTATGCTATTTCTCATAATTGGTTTTAGATCTAATAATAGTTTATGGGCTCAATTCATGAAGGTTAAATATTGTAAGGATTTAAATCCTCTAGTGTGCCACTATAAAAATTCCGTCTCTTCTGTTTGGAAAAGACTTCGCAAAATCAAATGAGAAGCTGAACATTTTATTCAATGGGGTATCGGGAATGGAGAAGTGCCTATTTGGCAAGATAATTGGCTGGGAACTTTATCTATCGATAATTATCTTAATACCCATACCATTGCTAATACTAGAGTTAATGAATTCTTTTTTAATGGGGAATGGAACAGATCTAAACTTCAGGAGGTGGTCCCTCATAATATTATTGAGAAGATTGTTCAAATTTCATTACAAGTTCAGTCTAAAGACAAAATCATGTTTAAGTTATCTGCTTCTGATAAATTTAGTTCTAAAAAGGTTTGAGAAGACATTAGATTTAAAGGTGAAGCTTCCCACATATTTTGTTCTCTTTGGCATAACACTATTCCTTAATCTCATTCATTACTTACTTGGAGATGTCTTAAAGGGTTTTTGCCTGTGGATAACATTTTATGGAAGAAAGGTTTTAGTTTTTCTTATAAATGTCAATGCTATTTCAATATTGAAAGTATTCAACATATGTTTGTTAATAGTGTTATTGCTCGTAGAGTTTAATACCACTACTTTAATCTGGCAAGTTTGGACACTTTCAATGCTAACTGTATGTTGTCGGAGATCCTTAAAATTTGGTTTTCTAAGGGAAAGGCCATATTCACAACTTAATTTCTATTCTGATTATTTGTTACATTTGGAAAGCTAGGAATGACTCTAAGCATAATGAAATTAAAATTTATGCAAATCAGATCATTACCAATGTTAAGAATAAGGTTCTACAGTTGATTTCTTTTAATCTTATTTCTTCTAAAAACTTTAGAAATTGTAATCTATTGGCTAGTCATTTTGGTATTAACAACAACACTGATATGGTGGGACAGTTGGACCGTATTGTGAGATGGCTTAAACCTAGCCTTCCTTATGTTAAGCTGAATACTGATTGGTCGGTTGGTGTAAATTCTACTAGCATGGGTGGAATCATCCGTAATTATATGGGCAATCCTATTGCTCTATTCGCTGGCCCTCTCAATTCAGTTTCTATATTGACTGCTGAACTGTTGGGTTTATCTCATGGTTTAGATATTTGCTTGAGATTGGATCTTCATCATGTGAATATTGAAGTTGATTCTAAACTTGTTATTCATGTGATTTCTGATAACAATGCTGCTTATCCACAATATTTTAACACTATCAGGAAAATTAAGATGTCTCTTTCTATGCTTAACTTTAATATTTCTCATATTTATTGTGAAGGAAACACCTGTGCGGACTGGTTGGCGAATTATGGTTCCAATAGTGACTTGTTTCATGAATTGCCTAAAAATAATCTGCCTTCTCCTCTTAAAGGCATGATTACTCTGGACAAAATTGGACTTCCTTATGTTCAACATGTTTGATTGCACTGTTTGTGTTTGTTTGCTCGTGTGAGCTGTTTTGTTATTACCGCTGGTTGCTGGACTTTGTCCCTAATAATTTTCCTTTACTGGTGTGGTTTTTTGCTGCTGATATGATTTTTTACGAGTTAATGCTGCTTCTTATTGGGAGGGTTTCTTTACAGCAGTAGTATCATGTCTATATTTATATGCTGGTGAGTACGTCTTTCGATTTGGGATTTCCCTTATAGCATTCAGGTTTGCGTTAACAATGCTAGCTGCCTTTTTACTGAGGTTTTGAATTCTTTTAAGTTAATGTGGGAGGTCATCGATTGGATCTCATATCAGCGACAGGTTTTGTTCCACACTTATCAGCTAGGTAATCATTTGGTTTTGCTTTTACCTTATAAAAGTCAAGCTGGTATTACTGATGTTATATGGATTAATGATAGTAAATCCATTTATGTTTTGAGTATATCATATGAGGAATAGCTTCTATGATATGGTGGTTATGAGGGAGAATGCTTTTTCAGGTGATCATTTTTGCTGGTTGGGGTATTATCTATATTTATTCGGCCCCGAAGGGTCTGATGGGGTTATTTTTTGCTCCTAGTGACAGGCTTTCCAACAGGAATCATATCATTGGGTCTAATTGTTTTTTTATTTACTACCTGTCTAATATTTCTTTTTGGAGTTTTCCTTGCAGGCAAAATTTATCTTTACGTTTATGGAGCTTCAATGATGACAAGGTTCTCTTAGTTTGTATTTTTCAGTCACTTCAATTTTCATCAATATTTTTGCAGGAAGAATGTGTTGAACAGGATTAATGTGCTCTTCCTTTTTTGAGTGCTGTCTACTTGCAGCCCGAGACTTTATTTATGTCTTTTATGTAATCTTAGGAAAAGGAACCACCGGCTCTTAGTTTTTTTTTTTTTCTTATAGCTCTTATGAGCAGTAGCGAGCTGGAGGATCTTTCTAGCTAAGGATTTTGTAACCGTTTTTTTGGGTATTAACGCGTAGGCCCCACAAAGGATTTTAACAAAAAAAAATAATAATAACAAAGTGCAAGATAAATTGTTAAAATAGATGGATAATTGATCAAAACTACAAGATAAACTAACATTTTTCCTTAGAGCAAACAAAATTAATCAAAATCTCATTTATAATACTCCGCGCATAAAATAAATAAATAATTATAGTTAAGTTATAGTTTTTCCATAAATACCATAAAATTTTCTTTTTATTTTTCATCATTAATTTATTAAAATATCATAACTTAAACGAAGTACATACATGCATGCATGCATTCATTCATGCGCGTTGATGTAACCACCATATATACTTACATGTGGACTTGCTTAACTTGTCACCCATGAGTTATGTATCATGACATAAAAGAAGTACATACATGCATACATTGATTTATTCATGCATGGACATATACGCGTTGATGTTGCCACCATATATATACTTACGTGTGGACTTGTTGAACTTGTCACCCATGAGTTAAAAGGCTGGCCGGGCAGTTGAGCTGAAACCAAGGTAGTTGGAGTGTTGTTGGTCTTCATATTATCTCCAATATCCTCACATGTTACGTCTCATAAATTTATATATAAACCTTCTCATCTAATCTCTTCTCCATTTTAAATGCGACACCAAGCTCTCCAAAACCTAATAAAGTTCAGGTCATGGAGCCTCAGCAGAACTTTCCTCCTATTTTAAGCCAACAAGGCCCACCATTTCCAATATTACCAGAAGCTTCAGGTCTTCATTTCTGCTCGAGCTCGAGCATACTTGGAGGTGATGAGCAGAATAAAGGGAAAGGTAGAGGGAAGAAGGAGAGCAGGCCGAGGTTTGTGTTTCAGACGAGGAGTGAAAGTGATATATTGGATGATGGGTTTAGATGGAGGAAGTATGGGCAGAAGAAAGTGAAGAACTGCAGCTTTCCCAGGTTATTTTTTTTACTCTATATATGAGCATGTTGTTATGACTAATTACTGATTAATTTGCATGCATGAGTTTTTCTTGATTATCCACTGAGGTTTAGGGTGGTTGGTGGGCGAGTACGGTTGAGAACCCCCATCTTGGCCGTTCGAATCTTTCCTACTACGGCCTCGCCTCTTCAGTGGGGCAAAGAAAGTGTGGGCCCGATGCCGTGGGTGGTCTCGCTAGGTTCCGCCGACGGATAATTAGTTACGCCGCCAAGCGCTCCCTTTGAAGTGAAAGCGGGTAGATACCCCCGTTCCCACCCAAAAATAAAAAAAATCTTGATTAATTAATGATCTTTTCTGATCGATCGACAAGAAGGGTGGTGGATGGCTAGAAAAGAATTTCTGAGTAGCAGGAACCTAGCTTTTTGGTTTACCAGAAATGATTTCTGAAGAACTAGAAAACTTTTTTGGTCAGCTTAAAAAGATATTGGTCGAACGACTATAATAATAAGAAATAATCTGCAGGTGAAGTCCTAGAATAATCAAAATCTATTGATTATACGTACAAGATGATTTATAATATAGGGAGATTTTTGCACTATCAATGAAGAACAAATTTTCATGAACAATCAGTGAAATTTGATCATTCCTCAAATAACTTTTAATTAAGTGTTGCATATTGAAATATGAATTGTAGTGCATGCTCGTACCAAGATTTCACAACCATATAAATGATTTAAAAGAGTACATAGGATATGCAAAGCTATTAACATAAACGTTTTGAGAAGGGAAAATCATGATGTATTGTGGAAATAGTTTCACTAATGTGCGTCAAATATTATGAAATATATTATTCCACATAAATAGAGGTGTTAACATAACATATTATATTTAATTATGGGAGATAGCTCCTACTGTGGGGTAAAAGGAATCTTAAGATATCAAAATTATCATCAAGAAATAAGTGTGTAGTGCTCTGGTGGCGAAGGATAGTTGATTTGACCATTCTATTAATAAAAGGGGAGATCACGACACCAAGAAGGCAAGCAGATATTGTATGTTGATCATTGGAAAGCATTAGGTACGTGACATCGATGAGGAACTTTAGAAGTCAGGTGATGATGACTGATTTTAGATGCTATCCTAATAAAGGGGGAGACTACAAGATGATGCATGAAAATGAATGTCATATGATGATTGTTGTTAGATGTTGCAGATCATTTATGGGCAAGTATCAGTTGATAGTCAATAAAGAATGGTAGAGGTAAAGCATGCATTAGTGGGTGGCTAGTACTTTAGTCATTCTCTTGATATGAAGGGATGTCAAGGGGCTAAAAAATGAGCATTAGATGTCAATAGTTGACAAGGATTGGATTTATGATTCATGGAGAACATCGGTAGTCCGTGAGTGCGGTGGGTCATTGGATTGATCATTATCTTAATATGAGGAACATCAATATATGGAGATCATCATGATATTAATTATTGAGAGACTAGAAAGATGAGATTTTGAAGTACGTGGGTAGAAAACATTATCATTAATAGACATCAAGTAACACTCGGCGGGAACATCATAAATTGGGCGATGATGAATAGTTTAATTTTTCTTATCAAATTGACATTATCAATTATATATAAGATGATAAATGGAGTTTGAATGATCAGATAATTGATTCTCTACATTTCTGACCCAAATACTCAAATGTTATGAGATTAGCAAATAGCATCAAAATTGATGTTGGTCAAATCAAATTTGCAGCTCATATCAACAACGAATTTTGTCCCAAAATATTAGTTATACTTTCATTGATAGAAAACCATTATATATATAAAGTGCGAGATTTTGGATCATTGTCATAAAAACTTCTCATGATATACACTTTAAAAATAGTGCTAAAAATGTGTTGCAGTAAGTGGTTGAAGGAAGCATTATTAAAGAAATAGCTAAACTATTGGATTGGTGGGACATGTTTCGTTAGGATGAGTATGACTTGGTTTGATTTGGATTTTTCAATTTATGAAATCAAACTATTAATTTTAGTTTTGAAAAGTTCAAATCATAATCATATTAAAAAATAAATATCATTTCCTCAATTCCAATAGGTTTTGGTTGAATTTTATTTTTGTTGGTTTAATTTAGTCTTAGAACTCAAAACATATAAACAAATATTCATATATTTACAATATATATAGACATTTTTATTTAAAAAATAGTCATTTAATTAATATATAAAGAATAAGCAAAATAACATTGAGCATATAAATCAAAAATAACTTGCTCTTCAAGATGCCTAAGTCTCACCAACTATGAGAATCCTAAGAGAAGAAAGCAAGAAATGGAAATGTAAGTAGGAATATGATTAAGACTTTGAGAGAGAACACTATTTATGATTAATTCAAAGCTCATTTATTAAAAAAAAACTAATAATGAGATATTTTTTAGTGGAGGGTTATTATATTTTTATTTGCAATTATGTTTAATATATTTTTTGGATTTCAAGGTTATTGAAATAGGTTTTTTTTTGTTGAAAAAGAATGAAAATAATTTCTTATTTATTTTTATTTTTAAGGAAAAAAAAAGTAGATGAAATTTAATTCATCATTAAGTTAAAAAATAAGTAAAATTTTTCTTATTCTTTCTTATTTTTTATTTTTTATTTAAATTTTTATTTTTAATAACAATTAAATTGATGGAATTATGAGTTACAATATTACTTATTATTATTATTGTAAATTTATACAAAGATATTCAAAACAATGACTAACAAAAGGATAAGTACTCACACCATACCAATAATTATAAGTGGGTGGCCAATTAGGTTTGTAGCTCAATAGTATCCCTTCTAAAGAATTAAACATGGGGTTTGAATTATAGGATGAAAAGCTTATAGTAGTGCATTGATTAAGCACGACATAGCTATATCATGATAAGCATATACTACAACAGCAACAACAAAATCAAGCCTAAAAAAAAAAAACAACAACAACAAAAAAATCAAGCCTTTATCCCACTGTGGGGTTGGCCACATGAATCCTTTTTCTCTCCATTGTGCTATGTTAAAAGTTAAATTCTCATTTAAATCTATTCCATGATAAGCTTATAAAAATTAAAAAATAATTATGCATCATAAACAATAAGTGATGAAAATTTAGCCCTTAATATAGTAATTATAGCCATTATCAATTGTAGTAAAATTGGAGTTGTTAGATCTTAATTTATTAATTTAGTAGACTTAATTTTGAGTTTTATCTTCTTTAAGTTTTATTATGACACTTAATGTATATATGATAGAACTATTGGGAAAGTGCAACATGGAACTAATGGAGGACAAGAAATTTAGTTGAGATAAGAATTTGGTTTATTTTCATAGAAAAAAAATCTCATAATAAATGCATCATAAATATGATTCTAAATTAAGAAAATCCTCTAATATAAATCTTTATAGATTTTTTTTTGATAAAGTTCTTTGATGATCTACTAATAATTTATTGTAAAAAAGATAGAATAAGAACCCAACAATAGTTATTTTTCTTTAAACATGTAAAAAATAAGAAATATCTAGGGATCCATCATTTTTTAATATTTTAAAAAAATATTTCTAAGGAATATTTCATCCTTTCTTAAAATTAAAAATAGGATAATTATCTCTGAGTTCCTATTTTTAAATGCAACTACTTCTAAAATAATGCATTTGATTGCTATTATTTTGAAAATGATTACTAAAATAATGAACCTTATTTCTTCAATTGTTAATGCAAAACTTAAAGATTTAACAATTAGAGCCAACATTCAAAAATTTAAGTAATCAAGTAATTCATTTTAGTAATCAAATTCATTATTTCAGCAACATATTTTATTATCACATTCAAAATAGTAGTAACCAAACTTATAGTTTGTGGTCGACCATGGGACCTTAGGTTAAGTTCTCCTAATAATAATGATTAATTGTCAAAAGCTTGCTCAAAATGAATGATAAAGGTGAAAACACAATAAATGTTACTGAAATAATGATATGATTATTACTATTTTGAATGTAATTACTAAAATAATGTATCTAATTACTCAAACTATAAATGTGGATGGTGGAGTATATAAGTTTATTACTTGCTTTAACAACTATATTCAAAGTAGATATAATCACATCCAAAATTAGTAGTAATTATAGTTAGTGGACTAATATATATATGTTAACCACATAACTTTAGATTATGTTCCCCTAAAAATAACAATAGTTTGTGAAAGTCTATTTAAAAGTAATGATAAAAGTGACAACATCAATTGAATTGATGATGAGAGTATGATTTTTTTTAAGAGAATATGGTTAGTTTTATTTCATCAAAAAATGAGGTTACAAAGTTCTAAAAAGGATCTACAGCTCTCTATAGTTCTAAGAGAGGTACAATAAAAAAAGGTTATATATATA